CTGTTTTCAAAAAAGTTCACACATGTACTATTAGGAACTTGATTGATTTTAATTAATATTTTCTTATTGGAAACTCTAACAACTCTGTATATTGTGATTTAGGTATATTTTACTGGATTAACTTAACAAATTTATATATTGTATGCTGAGAAAGTTTGCTAGTATGTTGCTAGGTTTTCCAGTAAATTTATGCTTATTTATTTAATGGTAATTATTGTAATCTTAGGTTTGACTATCATAGTGTTGAAATCAAAAGGAAAGATTAAATATGGGTGTTATCATTCTGAACATTTAGAAGACTCATAAGTAGCAATTCTAAAGTTAATGAAAGAGATTCTTACCAACACTACTGGTTTGGAGAGAAGCTGATGGATTTGAATTTACAGTTTTCTGGTGGTGAAATGTGTTTGGTACAAAAGACAATAAAAAGTAATTTTCAAACAAGCTCCCAGGGAGTAGAGATTAGCTATAAAAGAAGCCAATATTTCATGGAAGTTGCTCAAGCTTAAGGTTAAAAAGGAAATCTTGAGTCAAGAATCAACTTCCTCCTAATGTTCTCATTGTAACAGCTTCCTGACTTGCTCATTATTCAGTTCGAATAAGTCACATTTTTTGTGACTTACATTCCTAGATTGTGAAATGAGGCTGATTCAGTGCTCCTGTTTAATTTTATCATTAGAACTTAAGAGAAAAAAAACCATCATTACGAACAAGTAGATTCTTATCCTTAAGCGATCTCTAAAAAGAGTATTTTTTTTTTCTACATAAACGTAGATGGTTTCTGTAGTGGGTTCAATGCATTTGAAGCATTTTGATCAATGTGTTATCCATGGAAGACTGATTTTCTTAGTATGGTAGTGCAGTTCTCTACAAAATCGTAATGGAAGCAGGACTCATTTATGGTACTTCCCCTCTCCCAAGATTTCACCCTCTTACACTTCTCTCTTTCCTGTAAGCCAAGTGAGCAGCAACTAGGAGGCTGGCACTTGACTGCTCAAAGATTGCCCATTCCTGTGCTAGAGCAGTGAGAAATTCAGTCTGAAGAAATGAAATACCACTTTATTCATACTGGAAATAACTGTGCCTTGGAAATGTTCAGGACTTGGTAATTAATAGAGCTTGTGTAGCTTTGTGTGCGGGCCAATGTGCTAGCAACACAGCAACAAATGGAAGTATGAGAATTTATTTCATTTCCAAAGGGGTTAAAATGGGGCAGTAACAGAAGGCAAAGCTTTTCTTCCCAAGAAAGGAATAGCAGTAGAGCTGAGAGCCTTTTCATATGTGTTTAAGATACAGTCACATGTTGCATGATTAAGAATGGCTTCTCATGCTAAGTAAGTTAGTTCCCCATATACCTTCTCCTTGAGGTATGGGCCACATGGATTATGTCCCATTTTACAATGACTGATGGAAAATTACCACACTCTTTTATTGCTAAAAGTGTCTCAGTGACTCAGTACTTCAGAGCTTATGCATAATTAACGTGATCAAATAAGGGCATATGTTAGATGAAAGGATTTGGCTTTCTTTGAGGTCTGATTTTCAGATTTTCCAATTGGTTACTTTCCCATTATTTGAAATCCTGAACCTAATCCACATTTTTAAAGTATCTATCTGTAAAGTCTTCTTTACAAATGCAAAAAAAAAGAAGAAAAAAAGATTGGGAATCTTCTGTTTTTCATTTAATTGATTAAATATTATTTTTTCATCATTTTGTTGTAAGGCAATTTCTGGTTGTGGGTAGGAAAAAGTATATAGAGTTTGTACTCATTTTTAAGTAATTAATAATTAATTTAGGGAAGAAAGGATACTGGCAGGATATTGATAAACAGCTAATAAATTATACAGATGAGAAGTGTTACTTCTAGCTGGAGTGGTCAGAGAAGACTTTGGAGAAGTCTTTCTCCAAAATGAAATTTCTATGGGCCTTACAGAATGGGAAAATTATAAGTAGCAGTGGAAAAAGAACCATTCCTTGGTTGAGGGTCACAGAGGTAATGGCTGGTGTGGCATATTCAAGGAATAGTGAATAAACTGTAGCATAGTTTAAGAGCAGACTCTGGAGCCAGACATTCAAGCCCAAGTTGAACTCTGGAGCCCAAGTTCAAGACTTTTACATGCTGTGTGACTTCGGGCAGATTTTTAAACCTCTCTTTGCCTCAGATTCCTCAGAAATTAAAAAAGTAGTACTAATACCAAAATCACAGGGCTTTTGTAAGGATTTAAGAATAGTACTTTTTCAAGGCCGGGCACGGTGGCTCACACTGTGGTCCCAGCACTTTGGGAGGCCAAGGCAGGCGGATCACAAGGTCAGGAGTTCAAGACCAGCCTCACCAATGTGGTGAGACACATCTCTACTAAAAATACAAAAATTAGCTGGGCATGGTGGTGGGCGCCTGTAGTGCCAGCTACTCAGGAGGCTGAAGCAGGAGAATTGCTTGAACCTGGGAGGCGGAAGTTGCAGTGAGCCAAGATCATTCCATTGCACTCCAGCCTGGGCAGCAGAGCAAGACTCTATCTCAAAAAAAAAAGTACCTTCAAATAGTATTAAATAATTGTACAAACTAAACATTAAGTAACTCTAATTTAGTCTGAAGATGATGGCAGTGATATCTGAGGAAACACAAAGGGCAAGGTATTATAGAAGATTGGAGTGGACTCATTGAGGGACTTGACTTTCAGGACCACCTATAGTTTGTAATGAGTTACAGAGGCTTTATTTTAGAAGCAGGAATATATGATCAGAGGAGTGTTTTTGGAAAAATAATGTAGCAGAATAGGTAGAAGAGGAGAGTGGCAGCAGAGAGAGTGATTAGGAGACTCGCAATAGTCCAGATTTGAGGAATTCAAGACCACAGTTCAAAAGATAGAGGATGGGATTGGATGAGAAAGGAAAGACAGACCTGAGAAAGAAACATTTTCTATGAAACAGTTCTTAGGGTCCGGGGACTAACCCTCAGGACCATAGGAGGCAGAATTCTGTGCTGCATGAATGGGAGAATTCAAGCATCTAGGCGTTCTTGGCAAGAGCTGGTAATACGTGCAAGAAGAGGACATCCATTTTACATGTCTTGAATGTAAAGATAATAACTGGTGTTAGAGTTGAAAATGCCCTTGAGAATACATATTTGGTGTTCTAGGAGAAATCAGGCCTGGATATCGAAATAAAAGATGCACAGAGGTAAGAGCTGGGCTGTATGAGTAGGTAACAAGAAAGAAAATAGTGTACCAAGTGAATATTACAGTACTTTTCTTCCCCATTTCTATAAGAGAAAGTGTGGGTCTGAGAGAATGGAAACATGTTTCTAGTCCAGTTGACTCACTTGAAACATGGGCAATAGTAGAGATCCCTGGCCTGAAAGTGCCGTTTCACAGATCAAGTGCCAGGCAGTGCACTGTAGATGTGCGAAGTGTCTATAAATGCTGGGTTTCTGGATCTGTAATTGCACATTATTGCAAACAGGCTTCATTCTAATAAGGGAAAATTACTATATCAATTATCCTAATTAATCTTTCCCAATTCCAACTATACTTTAATACAGATACTGTCAATGTGTATATACATATATATGTCTATTCATGTAAATATATTTATATAAATACAATCTGTTAATTTGTATTATTTGTATGCTTTAAAAGTTGTTCCTTTTAGACTATTTTCATGCACATTTTTTCTCTTCCATTAGTTTTTAGTTGCCTATGGCTAAGGAGCCGGCCGTCTGTTGGTTTCAATCCCTCACTGTTTTCTCATTCTTTCACTTATGTATTGATTCCAGTTTATTCATTCATTCATTCATTCTCTCCAGATACTGTTAAGTTGCTAGGGTGATGAAAAAGATGTAATTTCTGCTCTCAGGGGGTGTACTATCTAGTTGGGGGAAGGAAAGGCACAGAAATATGCAGCAAAAACAGTAATAAAGATATTAACAGAAAATTATGAGAACATAGAAGAGAAACATTTAATCGTGATTATATGGAGGGGGTTGGGGAGAAATGCAATTCAAGGAGAGTTTTTGGAGGAGTTGATTTCTGGGTTGAGACTTAAACAATAAAGTAGTGGTTACTAGGTAAATAGAAAGTGGCATTGCTGATGGTGAAAACAGCCTGAGCACAGATAGACCCATTCACAAGAGAAAGTGAGGCAGATTAGTGTTGTGGAGCATAAAGTGAAAGGCAACGGGCAGTGTAAGATGACGTTGTGGGGCAAGCAGAGACCACTCGGGAGATTTGTGTGCAGCACATGGAAGCAGGGACTGCATTCAGGGGTCAAATAGGGAGATCTTTAAATGCTGTTGGGTCAGATTTCAGTCATAGGTGGCAGTTGGGAGGACGAATTTAAGGAGGACAAGACATTTTTGGTAGCTGGTTGAGGTGGGAGATGTTGAGGATCTAAATTAAGGCAGTATTATAGGAATGGGGAAGAGGAGGCAAAGTCAAGAACAGTATGTAGTATCAAACCAGCAGGACCTATTACTACAAACGAGGGGGAGGAAGGGCCAAGGATGCTTCTTAATATCTGCCTTCTATTCCTGGGTGATTGGCTGCACAGTCTACTTAGAGAATACAGGAACAGAGAGAATATAGTGAGTTAATTTTTGGTTTTGTTATCTTCAACATATTGGGATTTTTAATGTATCTATGATTATATTTGGAATTAAATCTAATTAATGGTTAGCAGAGACGTCTATATAACTAGAAATAACTCACCTTCAACATTCACCTTAACCATCTCCTCTTAGAAGCAGAGGAGATGCTTTCCTTAAAACATTCTGTGCATACATCTGTCATAATTCTTTCACTATGTTGGAATCTTTGGTTTTCTTTCCTATTCATTTGTATAGTCACAGCCTGGTGTTTGAGTCATCACTTCACTGTAAATGTGAGTGAGAGAATAACAAGTGAATAGATTATTATTAAAATAATAATTTTTATTATTTGATTGTTGGGAAAAGTTTGTATGTGACTTATTCTCATTCTGATTCTTCTGTTTTAACTCCTAGTACCTTCCACTGGAAGAATCTCAAACAGTGCTACTTCCTCAGGAGCAGTGGCACCAGCCAACTCAGCTTTGGGACAACCTCAGCCAAGTGACCAGGACACTTTAGTGCAAAGAGCTGAGCACATTCCAGCAGGGAAACGAACTCCAATGTGTGCCCACTGTAACCAGGTCATCAGGTTGGTTGTTTTTTTGAAATTTTCTTGAAAGTACTTAATGCCAATTTTTTTTTCTTTTTGCATTTTGAAATATGTGTAATATAATTAGTGAAAATATTCTTGCCATAATCCTATAGAGTACTAATTATTGAGTAGATAAATATGAATATCTGTTAGAATGTACTTTAATGAAAGGTAATACTGAGCTCTGTGAAAATAAAAGAACTAATTGTGTTCATTATCAGTTATCAATTCCTATTAGAACTAAGGAAAAAGTGATTAATGTGTTTTTTTGGAGAATAATACAATTTTAAGACTCAAAGGGACCCTGAAAATCACTTATCCTACTTTCATTATTCTACAAATTATGGAAGTGAGGACATCCATGTAGTTGAAAAATAACTAGTGACATTAAAGAACTTTGAGCCTTAGAGAAAAAGAAGATTGGATTTTTGAGTAGACAGGCACTGAAAGGTACCTTCAGACCTATTCATAAATATTTTGAATGTTAAATTAGGTTATGACCTGCTTCTTTAAAATACATTTTATCTGGGCCTGGTACAGTGGCTCACGTTTGTAATCCCAGCACTTTGGGAGGCCGAGGTGGGTGGTTCACAAGGGCAGGAGATCCATACGAGCCTGGCTAACATGGTGATACTCCATCTCTACTAAAAATACAAAAAAATTAGCTGAGTGTGGTGGCATGCACCTGTAGTCCCAGCTACTCGGGAGGCTGAAGCAAGAGAATTGGTTGAATGTGGGAGGCAGAAGTTGCAGTGAGCTGAGATTGCACCACTGCACTCCAGCCTGGGCAACAGAGCAAGACTCCGTCTCAAAAATAAAAAGGCCAGGCGCAGTGGCTCACGCCTGTAATCCCAGCACTTTGGGAGGCCAAGGTGGGCGGATCACAAGGTCAGGTAATCAAAACCATCCTGGCTAACATGGTGAAACCCCCTCTCTACTAAAAATACAAAAAGTAGCTGGGTGTGGTGGCGCGTGCCTGTAGTCCCAACTACTTGGGAGGCTGAGGCAGGAGTGTCCCCTGAACCCTGGAGGCGGAGGGTCCATATACATATGTTTTATCCAAATCTATTTCATTGTCTCTTAAGTTGCAAGAAGAAAAAAGTTTCAGAGACCTTAAGAATGCACTGTACTGCAGCTTATTGAATCTGAGTATTTCTGAATAAGGGGCTTTTAGAATGTTGGCAGTGTAGGCAGCAATGCTGATGGCAGGCATCCCACCCCAAGGACCTGTTGCACTTTGTGAGTTTCCTTGTTGGCAGGAACAAATGATCTTTTAAAGTGATATTTTCAGACTCTCTTCTTTTTAAATTTGTCCTACTTTGAAATAATTGAAACAATGACTTCTCTGAAGTTGAATAAGATTAAAACTTAATTACATTTTCATCTCTTCTATGATATAATTATAGCATAATGTTTCTAGGTAATATTTACAATGGAACCAGGAAACCTCAATACTTCATTTAAGAATCAAATGTAAATACCCCTCTCTTTAGCCTACTATTAATTAAATAATATATATTTCAAGAACATAGCACATAGTGTGTCATTCAAAATTGAATAGATTTTTTTTATTTTAAAAGTAGTCAGTGTTCATTATGACATTTAAAAAACATAGAAACACAGAAAACAAAAAACAAAGTTACACATAATCCCACTTCCCAAGGTAACCGTTACTACTATTTTCTTTTTTTTTTTTTTTTTTTTTTTTAGACGGAGTTTCCCTCTTGTTACCCAGGCTGGAGTGCAATGGCGCGATCTTGGCTCACCGCAACCTCCACCTCCTGGGTTCAAGCAATTCTCCTGCCTCAGCCTCCCGAGTAGCTGGGACTACAGGCGTGCTCCACCATGCCCAGCTAATTTTTGTATTTTTAGTAGAGACGGGGTTTCACCCTGTTGACCAGGATGGTCTCGATCACTTGACCTTGTGATCCACCTGCCTCGTCCTACCAAAGTGCGGGGATTATAGGCGTGAGCCACTGCGCCGGGCCCAGATTTTTAAAACATTCACTCATAAGGACAGATACTATTTTACAAAAATGGAATAATGCAGTATTTCGTAAGCTGTTATTTTTCATTTAAATTATATTTTTCAGAGTGAGTGTCTGCTTAGTAAGAATTAGCCAGCAGCAGTGGGAGTAGTAATAGTGGTTATGGGGAGAAAGGGAAAATTAGTAGAGGTTTCCAAAGTCTAATGCAGTATTCAACACACAGGAGGCATTCAGTAAATGTTTAACTGCATAGATCATGCCTGACTCTAGACCCATTCATCATTTAGGCCATAGTGTCAATTTGGTTAGTCATTTTCCTAAAAGTCCTAGTGTGGGGTCTCTGTCTTACAGAAATATTTAATATAAGATCTAGTATGTTGCTGCTTTCTCCTAATAAAGAAAGCAATGTTTTAATTACTACCTGCATTTAGCTGTTATATTTTTGGTTTAATACCGATAAAATAGAACAAACTCTGACTTGTAACATTGCTTCTGTAAGTTATAGTACTTTGGTTGCCTAGACTGATGCTTAGGGAAACTATATTCTAGATAGAAACACCCTTTGTGGAGACAGGAGTCTCTGCTGTTATTTGTATGCTATTGTAAGCAAGTAATTACTGGGTGAGTTAACAAAATGTCATACCACATCATTTGCTGATTCATGTTGCCTAGTTATCAAATTTCATGATATCCTGTAACCACCAATTCTGGCACTTCTAAAAAACGTACTTAGTATGGAGAAAATATGAAGATCAAAGTAGAAATTACATTCACCACCCCTACCTGCCTTGGTTTTAAATTTAAAGCCAGGCCAGGATGCAATTTTGATATACAATCATCCTGCCATGTAAAATAAATATGTATTATGCTAACATGAGTAGCCATCACTTATTGCTCCCTCATCTGTTAAATTTACATTGTTCTGAATTATCCAGTACTTGTTATCAGTTAAGCATTAAAGCTTCATTTGCTAAGGAAGTTAATAGGAATGGGGATTAGTTCATGTCAAGATCATGTAACACTAATTAACATAGCACATTTGCCTGGTGCTCAAATGCTTAAGCAGCTTGAATCGATTGTGGTCAGTTCAGAGGCCTAGTCAAAGCATAATTCTAGTTCTTGGCCTCAGTGTCAGTATTACTTACCAAAGTAAGAAGGCTTTAGATCAAGTGACATTCTCTAGGACACCTGCTTTAAAAATGAGCTGCAGTTTCAGGCTTGATACTTTTGATGCAGAGTGTTGTACCCTGGAAAGCTTGGAGAAGTTTAAAATCCATAATTTACATTGTGAGTTTTCTACCATGTAATTTATATTATTTGTACTAATTTATGTTGTTTTGTTTTATATTTACTTTTCAATATTTCAAATTTGCAAGGAAACTTTTTATGTAAAGGCAAACTAAAGTGCATTTTATGTTTTATTGTTCTGTTTTTTCGGCAGAGTTTATTGTTTTAGAAAACCTCAGAAATCTGAATGTTAGAACTGAACTGGTTGTCTCTTTATAGAACACATTCAATTTAAAATTCCATAGCTAATCTTATTTGGCTCTGATATTTAACATTTTTTGATTTATTTGAATTGTGAAAAGTTTATGGGTGTTTTGCCTAAATTATATTATGGTGACATCACTTTGACTAGCTACAAATGAATAGGAAGTTACATTTCAGGAACTTCTATTGAAGCTTTAAGTTTGCTATGGGACATTTCCAGTCAAATTATGATAGAAGCACCATTTCGTTGACTCATACTTGTGAATAGATTGACTGTAGGAATGCTAAGATAATAGAGAATCATAGAAAATTGGGTAGTTGGAGCCAAAACTACCTTTCATTTTCCCTGGTAGAATGGGCTTATGAACATTCTAGCTTATTTCTTAAGTGTTAGATCTAGTGGCATTAAAATCTGTTGACCATTTGTATTACATGGAGTTAACTGAACTATTTATGTTTAGCTTCTTGGCATCCTTGTGAAAGACTTAAGGGGCTTATAGTGCTTGAATTTCTTCTTAATATGGAATGCTTAAATAGCCACATTGCTATTGTTTTGTCTTTGCCTACAGTACAGCACCAGAAAAACCATATACAGCCAATTCATTGTTTATTCCAGTGAGAGAAAAAGTTTTAATATTATTGATCTGTTTTTTGCTCAGTGTTTTTTAAAATTCTCTCATAAGGAGCACCATCTCAGTTTACTAAGGAAAAGCATGCAGAATTTTTTTGCCTGTTTTACCATTTATTTCAGTCTCTGAGCACCCCTTTTTTTTATAGGTTTATTTACCATCCCCACTGATTAAGATTTTACTTGAAAATAAAAGGGTTCCTGGCTTAATATATTAGCCCTTGTATTTAAGAAAACAACTAAAGACATTGACCAAGACTCATAAGCAAGACAGAGCCCCAGATTTTACTATTTACTGTTGTGAAAGATTAGAAAGAACATAAATGTGTGCATCTATGTAATATAATTTTCAGATAATAGGTGTATTAAATGTTTGGCATATTCCAAATATTGCACTAAGGATTTTGCCTGAATTTTTGTAATAGCCCTGAGAGACAGTTGCTATGATTATTCCACTTCAAGGTTGACAAAATTGAGGCCCAGAGAAGTTACATATTTGCTTGAAGTTGCATATTTAGTAAATAAAAGAACCTGAATTTGAACCCAGATTTGTCTAACTTTAACTTTTATTCATGCTTTTAACTAGCACTATATAGCAAAATGTTTATAGTATCATATTAATATGGCAAAAATGAAATAAGGAACTCAAAAGTATGATTCCAATTTTGTGTGAAAAAATTATACACCAAGACCTGTTAAGCCTAACAATAAAGATAGCAAGATAGCTTCTCTATATTGAACATGACTGGTATCATGCCAAGAACTTTAATAGTATCATTCTACTGGATCCCCAAAATAACTCCAAAGAATTAGTACTATTCTTTCTTAAAAATATTTTTATTTCCATAGGTTTTTGGGGAACAGGTGGTACTTGATAATATGAGTGTTCT